GAGGGAAAAGGTCTGTGCTAAATTTCTCAGAAAATTGCTTTCAACATCTCACATGAAATTTCAAAATTATCTGACTAATTTTGGTCTTCTTTAAACAAGTCTTTGTCTTGTGGCCTCCTAGCCAGTTAGAGCTCATAGCAAGACAGCGCTGGTTCCGCTCCATCGAAAGAAAAGAAAAAAACGCAGCCCCAGTCTGCTTGCAGGGCAAACCCACAGCAAGACGAACTGACCTCAGAAACTCTTTTCAGACCAAACTTCAAACTCAGAAACACAAAACTGACTCTAAACTACTGTACAAGCCTTGAAGAAAACTCAGTTCCTCCACCCACCAAATTCTACTTGCTAAAAATGAAACATAAAATTACATTTGACCAAACGGAAAAACTTTTTTTGAGGGATGCTCCAAGGAGGTCTTTTTAAGGCAAACTGGCCTGTATCCACGTTACACATGGGAAAATCCACAAAAATGCTCATACAGCCAGCCTATTCACTGGAACTCAAATCCCGGACCGAACTACTAGGGTTCAGTGGTTTTTTTACCACTTGGCCGCTGGTGGGCCTTAATGCTCAAATTGAAGAGCAAAGTGTTTGCATTTGTACATATGTAAAAATTAAATATCATGTTAGGAAAAGGTTTCTGTTGTTAACAAATATTTGAGCATTGTAATAATATAGGGTAGTAATAATATAGGGTATAATAATATAGCGTTCATAGCGTAATTTAACTTGCGTAGTACAATGACAAACTGCATGAATGCGCCCCAGCTCGTGCCGCATTCATGTACTAATGAGCTGCCGTTTCAAGTGTGATAGTGATGTGGATCGGTGGAGTGCACAGCATCGTGCCTTTGCTGTTGAAAGTTATTTCAAGAATAACTACTCTATTATTGCTACCCAGCGTCTGTTTCGGCAACATTTCAACATGGGATGTTATGGGAAAGTTCCAGATGGACGGACCATTCTGACAGACATTTCCAGGTAGAATAATTTCCCGCTTTGGTGACATTTCCTGTCGACCTCGCTCACGTGATCTTTCATGTGCAGACTTTGGGGGCACCTGAAGTAAGAAGTTTTCCGAACACGTTGTGCTACCATTCCTGAGTTGAAGGATCGCATCCGAACTGCAGTCGGCAATGTCCCAGGCAATACATTATGCCGAGTTATGGCAAGCTTCCAACGCCGCCTAGATGAATGTGTTATGCAGAGGGGGCATCATTTGCAAAAAGTAATACACGCAATGGTCAATGACGTACACATTAGTAAATGGCATACCTTTAACTATTAATTGACATAAGAGGTAATAAATAAATTACAGTTACTGCCTTATGGTGTGTTTTTAATATCCTACAATGAACACTGCCGCACCCTATATATGTACATATTGTAATAAAATTTATATATATATATATAAATAAATTTTATACAGATTGTCATAAAAAGTATACATCGGTATTCCTTACCCTCCCCTCTAAAAAGGAGATTTTATTCAGATCTTTGGCATTTGTGTTTCAGGAAATAGCAGCATACTTGCTAATCTGAAAAGTGTTATCTGGCATCTGCACATACTTGTTGGATTAAAATGTGACCTAGTTCAGTTGTCCGAAGAGAGTTGCTACTTTGTATTTTCCTACCTTCCAGAATGCAGTGAAAATGAAAAGAAGTGATTGATGGCTTGATAGATCATGCAGTTCCCATGGCAGGACTATCAGGATCATACAAAAGAGAGTTCACTTACAGGGACAGAAAATAGGAATGCATTTCTGGCTCCTTTTAAGCTGCCATTGCAATGGAACTATTGCTCATTTGAAAGCGTGCCTTTATGAGATCATCTGTTAATTTTCAGATAAGAGACTAGGAAACACAAAAACTTCTCTCTCTTTTTTTTTTTTTTTTTTTTTTTTTTTTTTTTTGGTAGAGAGATGATATTGAGCATCCCTGAGCATGACAAGTAGGTCATTAAAGAAGGAAGAAAAAAGAAAAAGAGCTGAAGAAAGGAGCGAAAAAACATTTCCTAAATGCAGTTTCAGTTGAAAAAAGAAATTATCTTTGAAGGGAGAAAAAGAAGCAAATATTTAAGTTTTCTAAGATGGTGAAGTGATTAAATAATGAAAAGTTTTCTAGTTTCATCAATTTTTGTATGGTTATTAGTAATGTATGATATGGTTATTATGGTTCTCTGGTAATAAAACTTCTTGAGAATATTAATAATATATTTTTAACATGTCCAACTTATAAATTACCGTATTTGACGGCATGTAAGATGCACTGGCATATAAGACGCACCTTTATTTAGAAGGCCACACACATGTAGATGTAGAAAAAGTTATGTGTGTCTAGACCAAGGATGTCAAACTAACGGCCCACAACAAATATTTTTGCGGCCCGCCCAATATATCAGCAAATAATATAATAATAAAATATAATAATAATAACATAATAATAAAATAACATATCGAGGAAGAAAAAAATGAAATGTTTACTGCTAAGTAATTAAAGATAATTTATTCAGTGTTGTTAGATTACTCACAGCACGCTGACACACACACACACTACTTAAATTACGGGTTTGTCTACTATACCGAGGTACGTTGGTTATCTTGCTCCAAGATTCTCAACAATTCTGGGATTTGAAGAAGAAATATGTCAGTTTTTAAAACGAAAATCAAGACGTAAGTTTGTTTTACGATCCAATATGGATACAAGATTTATCTTTTCTTGGTTGATATAACCAAACACTTAACCGATTTAAATTTATCGTTACAAGGAAAAGATCATATCATTACGAACATGTTTGACATAATTAAGCATTCAAATGTCAACTAGTTCTTTGGGAAAAATAACTTAAAATGAAGATTTGACGCTCTTCCCGACGTGCAGCATGAACAAATCAAGTTTAGATGATACTTGTTCGTATCAAAAATACGCAGAAAAAATTGCAATTTAACAACTGAATTTGAAACGAGGTTTAATGATTTTAGTTCCCTCGAAGACAATTTTTTTTTGTTTTCTTCTTCGATTTTCAATAAGTATTGACTCAGTACCGAGCCATATGCAAATGGAGGTGATCGAGATTCAATGCAACTCAAATTTGAAAGCAAAATTCATTGAAGTGGGCGTGCCTGAATTTTTACAAATATTTACCACCAGGTTGAAATACTCGAAATTCGCATATGAAATTATTTCCATGTTTGGTAGCACGTATCGGTGCGAGCAGTTATTTTCAGTCATGAAAAGGTAATAAGTCTCCTATTAGAAACCGTATTAATGAGCTCACCTTGGGTCAGCGTTGAAAGTTATCACTGCAAACAAAATTTCTTTCCGAAATAGGAAAGATAATAGCAGAGAAGAGGATGTTAAGTATCAGGACGTAAACGTTACATTTTCTTTGTTCTTTTCTATATAAATATATAAATATATATGTTTATTATTGTATTATTCGAAATAAATCTACATTTCTATGAATATTTTTTTTTTTTTTTTTTTTTTTTTTTTTTTTTTTTGCGGCCCGCCTAAAGTTAAACCTTGTTTGTTTGGCCCAAGTGTACCTATGAGTTTGACATCCCTGGTCTAGACCTTTATCCGGGCTAAAAATAGCATTCAGTATTGAAAGTTAACCTGTGTCCTTCACGTATAAGACGCAGGTAACTTTTTTAAGACCAAATTTAGGAAAAAAAGTGCATCTTATATGCCGTCAAATATGGTACTTGAATGAAAGTTCTTTTGGCATACCAAATGCAACAGAATTATAGATTAAAGACATTAGTAAATCACAAAATTTTTTAGGGGAGGAAATCAGCCTTATGCTGTTCTAATTTTTATTTTTATTTATTAATTTTTTTAACAGACCACCCAAGACAAGCCAAATATAATGCCAGAAATCTCAAATTTTAAAATTAAATATCTCACTCAATTTTTGATTGATTTCTCTTTTCCAAATATTTGTCAAGCATGTTATATTACAATATCTGTCAGAAATGAAGCTTCAGTCTCTTTCTTTTCTTAAAAAATTAGCTTGTCTCAAATAGCATGCATGTTTTCACCTAGCAATTACTGCAATTACTTTGCCTATTTTTCTCCCCCCTTTTTTGTTTTCCTCCTTATTTTTGAAATCCTCCTTTTCCTTATGAAAATTATTAGGAACATTTATCTGAATTAACTATAGAAAAACTGATGTTTAAACTGAATTTTGTCGTTTAATAAAGTAAGAGTTGGAAAATTTTTTAGCAGTGGAATAGGGCATGTTTATATTTCATTTAATGCTAGTGTTACATTGAATTAAATATATATGTACACTGTAAGTATATTATAACATCCAATGAAATGTCTGTTTATGTTTCATTGCATAAAAGAACATATTTAAAAGGTAGGACATGCCCCCAAACAAATTCTGACTATGTAACTAGAATTATAGTTAATTACAACACTAACTGTGTTTTCTTGCATGCTGATTTAAAATAATTTTGTGAATTGAAATGTTATTTGTTTTATGCAATTTTGAATTTTTAATAAAGCTAATTTATGAATATTTGTAGATGTGCTTTATTTGTAAAATATTTCTCACTGCCAGATTTGTAAGGAAAAGGGCTTGTTAACTTCATCAAGTTGATTTATTGTTATGAGTTGTTTGAAATTATAAATAATTCATTGTTCCTATTGAAATTATAAATAATTTCTTGTTTCTTTATTAATTGTATATAGGTAAATATTGTGCTGTATATAACAGTATTTTAAGACATAATGCAAATTGGTATAAATGTTCTTTGTTATGAGTTTAAGGAAACTGTTTTCAGATACATTAGCATGTTGTACTGCGACTGGCATTCATTTGTAGATAAAGGTATTAGCAGTTCTCTATCTTAAATCGTGTTATTTAAGGTAATTTTAAATTTCTAAAGTTAAATTTCTATTACAGAAAATATGTTTTATTAATGCTAAGTAAAAAAAAAAAAAAAATTAAATTATTTATGCCCAGTTAAAAAGTATTTTATTTGTTTTTTAAGGCTGAGAATGACCAGAAAGCTACTGAATATCCCAAACTATCAAGAGAAGAAATTCAGACATTATTGCTTGAGATTGATCAGGAACAAAGCATTGAGGGTGAAGGAGAAGGAAATGAAAGACGAAAAGTTCAGTATATTTTAAAATTACATTTATATTACTGAAAGGAAAAGATTGACCAGTTTGTGCTGCTGAAGCACAGAACTAATCAGTTTAGCATTTATTATATACCCTGCAAAAAATTGATAACTTTTAAATCTGAAGTCATATTTATGGCTTTTTAAATTGTGTAGTTCATTATTTTGTAGTAGCAGTCTGATAATAAGAAATATTTCAAATGATTGTCATGTGGACTTTTTAACGTATTTGTCATATCATATTTGCACACATTATGTACATGACAATGGAATATATTGATTCCACATCTTTAAAGTCTCTTCTGTATTTAAAAATGGGATATTTAAATTTTTATTTTTATTCACTATTATTAGTTCTAATATTGCCTGTTTCAGTTAAAAAAAAAAAAAAACTGTAATGAATATTTACTGATTTCTTTGGATAGGATAACATATTTCGAATCTCACATTGCCCATTGCTTTTCTGTTCATGAATATATCTCATGTAATAAAGACGGGGGAAAATGAATTTTTAGTGTAAAGTGCTCAAGATATAAATAATTTTATTAAATTATTAATTTTCATCATCTCTCTCATGATTTGGCTGTAATTTCAATGACTATCATTCACATTTATTTAACTCATTTTTAAAGCAAACACATTTTATCAAATAAATTCAAAAAATTCACAATTCAAAAAATAATGTAATTTGAGAATTTGAGATGAATGCTAATTTTTTTGTGATACTGAACTTAAATTTATCTTTAAATAATCATATTAGTAGTATTCAAAGAGCATGATTATTAATCTTACAATTAAAGTACAAGGTGTGGCTATTAATATCCAGGACTGACGTCACAGCATGAAACTTATGTTTAAAGCAATATAAGATTTTGAGAAAAGGAACGCATTTCACTCTAAAAGCCAATGTATTTCGTAGGCCTTAAACATAAAAGAGAAACATTTGATCTAATTATGAAATCCCACCAAAAGGGAAATGTTTTAGAGATAACATCAGTTATTCTGGCAAAGGTTTAAAAACAGATTGTTGTTTATTTGGATAATAAAGAGGTACAAATTATGGATATAGTAAAACTTAAATCGCTTATCATAATATTTCATATTACTTTACCGTTTTGTATCCATTTCGAAGGCGATCGACATGATGATGAGGATAATGATTAACATGGGAGTGGTTGCATTTCACAGTCTTAAAAGAATAAGAATATTAAAAAGAGACAATTGTTGCCAGAACATCATCTTCTCTAGAAAAGAAAGGATTTGTTCCAAATTGCAGACATTAATTTTGATTTTTTTTTTCAAACAAATTGTGACTATGGATAAAAGTTTGTGTTCTTCTTATGATCCTGCAATAAAACAGCAATCATCATAGATTAGAGATAGCTCACCACCAAATTTTGATTTCAGAAATACTGAGTGCCATGTTCATAATCTTTTTTGATTGAAAGAGATAATTCATAAGCAATTAATTCCAAAGAGTCAGATGGAAAATTCCCTATTTGTAAAGATGGAATGAACAGTATTCTGAAGACAGCTAGCACAATAGGCCTGAAAAGGCTCAATTGAACCACAGGTTTCTACTGCATGACAATGCACTATCACACAGTTATATTTTCCTAGGGGGGGGAATTGCCATAATTCTTAACCTTCCATTATTTATCAGATTTGGCACCTGCAGGCTATTTTGTCTTTTCTAAAGTGAAGTCTCAATGAACATCATTTTAATAATGTTGAAGAAATTGGAAAGCCATGACTAAAGAGATAAACAATATTCCAAAAGATGAGTTTTGTGGAGAAATCACACAGTTATATGAATGTGTCATGCATTGTATAGACCTACAAGGATCGTATACTGCTTGAAGAAGCAAAAGAAGGTTGAATATTTTTTCTTTTTCTTTTTTCTTGTTTTTTTCATCATGACTGGTCAACTCTTTTGGCATTAAACCTTTCTTCCAACCCTGTAAGCTTGTCATATGACATATTTTTACATGCTTATTAATTGATTATCATATGTATAAATTTCTGCGTCTTTTTTCTTTTCAGTTTTTTATTTTTAGCAGTTATTGAGTTTGATTCAATGTTTCCTGTCAGAATCTTGACATTATTATGATATTGTGTTTAAATTTTTAAATAATGCAGTTCTTTTCAAGCTATTTAAGTTTCAATTATGTAAACTTTATCTAAGTAAATATATTTTTTTTAGGCTTTAAAAAGGTATGAATCTTTGAGGGAGATCTTTAATTTAGCTAGAGATATGCGTAAAGAAGATCTCGAGAACATAGAGACTGAATTGCAGAAATTAGAAGTACCTGAAAAGAAAAAGATGAAATCAAAAGAAAAAACTGAAAAAGTAAATATAAAATATTGTTTTAACAATTTAAAATAGAATTCTGTCTCAGAAAAGAGATTTTGTATTAGTTAACAATAGAACTGCAAGAGCAGTCAAACTAACTTTTTGTAAATTTTGTATCTTTGTATCTGATAAAGTATTTTAGTTTTTGAAAATTAAATTTTATAACTTTTCTTGAAACTTCTTGAATATATAGTTTGTGAAATAGAAAAATAAATCGTGCTTAAAATCAAATTTATGCCTGAAATCCCCCAGGGGTGAGTTTGACTTCCCTATCAGTATAGTATGGAATTTATAGAAAGTACTTTTTAATATAATTTTCGTAACAGTGGGGAATTCTCCAAACTAACAGGTAACTTGAAGCCCGTCAAAGTGTAAAAGAAGACCTATGTAGACAAGATTTAGTTACATCACCACAACTCATGGTGATGCGACTAACTAGAACAATCAAATTTAAATTAAATGGGGAACAGATGTCAAAGATTACACAATTAATTACTATACTAGAAAGTGGCTCACTATTCTGCAGCAGCATCAGAATTTTAAGTGTTGACACCATAGAATGCAAGACCGAATAATTACAACTATCCATTTACTATGACACGATAACATAAACACATCCTGTCTTAAAATTCCCCAAACTCAGTTTAAACTTGACTTATTTACATTCTGCTGAGGAATATGGAAGGAAGTTGTAGTAAAGGCTGAAATTATAAATAATTGTTAATTAACATAAAATTCTCTACAATCTTATTTATTAAAAAAATTCAAATTCAAATCATTTCTCATTTTTCACTATAGAAGAAAATAAATTCCTGGTTGTTTCACGGTTTATCTAACAGCAGTAGAAAATTCAGAAACTAAAAAAACTACCTCAATAGAAATAATGAGTGGTTTTTCATGAAGAGAAGCAGAACATCAGTGAAAATTTTCTTAGTTCTACTTCATATTATGAATACATAATGCATGTTCTGTGAAATGCAAAATCACTCATGTCAAAAAATGCTGACACAAAGCCTGACCATATATTAAAAGAAAATAACTAAAGCCTAAACTAAAAAATATTAATTCTTATTTCATACATTCAAATGAAGCAGTAAAAGAAAATGTGAAATTGTTATTTTCAGTAACAGTAGCATTTTACAATGCTTTAAAATGTGATATGATCATTTTTGAATAATATAGAAAAAACTAATATCTGGCAGAAGCTAATTTTATGATAGCCACTCCAAACAGTCTATAAAATTCAATTCTTTTTGCAATGTACTCTTGAGTTATTTGCTAGAAAATGACCTATAATATTGGAAAGAAATGTTAATATTTAGGAGCTTGTAAAAGAGCTTCATGAAAAATATTGCTTAGAAAAATAAGACCAACAGTACATAGCACTGAAATATAAATATGAGGGAGTACTAAAATATAATTGAATCATTTTTATAAGGTCTATGGGAAAATCTTGCCATTTTTAAATTGGAGGAAAAAAATTTCATTTTTAAATGCTAGTATATGTCATTTGTAAGTATTATTACATTCTCTTATTCACATTTAGATCTTATATAAAAATGTATCAACTATTTATGTTTTTAAATATTTAATAATGTTCAATTAGTTCTCATTCTTCATGTAGGCAAATATATATATATGCTTCAGTTAATTTAATCATTGGGTCAATTAATTTGCTTTTTTTTGCTAAACAAGTAAATTAATTTTACTTTTTGCTTCTATTTTAATATTATTAAAGTATTTTATAATACATTTTATAAGTTTATATTTATTTTTCCTACTTAATGTATCAATTAAAAGAATATTATGCATTTTATTATTATAAAGTAAAACTTTTCTTAAAATAGACAGAATAATATAATCTATTCTAGTCCTTCATGCAAATATCTTTCCCCTTTATCTTCATAGACTTCAACATAATCACAAAATAAACATCATAGCAGTCGATATACTTATTGTATTACTTATTATTCATGTGCTTATCGGGTTCTAGAAAAATAATAATTTACAGATTGTAGTTTTCACTAGAAAAATTAAATTTTGATTTTTGTGATTAAAAAAATAATATTTTTTAATATAGGCGCAGTTTTGAGTTACTACAGGTAAATGAACTGCAAATATTAAAAAAATATTCATACAGTACATTATAAATATGTATTTTAAAATGTTATGCTTTTAAAACTAGGCACTCCAAATGATTGCATCTTGTGAATATATATATACTTCAGGTCTGAAATTTAGACAGCCTGAAATAAAATCTATTCTTCAAGAAATTGGGAAAATGTCAATTGCAGAACCGAAACAGCTCTTGGAATTTGAAGTAAAAAATATTCTATTTTTATATAAATGTTTAAAATTTGAGAAATTAAATTTATCCAAAATTGTTTTACTTGTTGACTATTGTATCACTTTAACACATTCACTGCCATCTACGAGAACACTCATAATTGAAAAACTGAGTTTACTTGTCAGCAGTCAGATAACTCATTATTGATCACCTTACCTGAATCACTAAGTGCGAGTACTGCTGTAGCAAATAGCAGCAGCATTTAGACATACAAGGAGGAACTAAATAATACACTTGGTGAACTGAAATGGATCATTTATTTCTCAAAACATAGATTTAATGATTGAATGCTTACAACTCAAATTCCTTTATTGGGGTTGTCATTTACTTAGGAAATCTTATAAATGATCTGCTCAAATTCTTGTAAACTAATGAAAACGAGTAATGCACAGAAGTTTTGAGTGAATGTATAGAAGGGCAAGTATTATTTATCTAGTTCCGAATTATGTAGTAGTTGGTTGAGCATCAGAAATAATATATCGTATGCCAACTATGAGTACACTTGTGCAGATTTATTTGCTGCTAAATCTAGCATACTTATATTAATCTATCATATCATATGTATGCTTATTTAATGAAATAACGGAAAATAATTTAAAAGCATAAAAACACATATAGGATCTTTGTCACATGGAAAGGGGTTTACTGTTTCATCTTTGGCCACTTTGTCTGTGAAAAATGAAAACTAGAATTTTTAAATGGATGTCATTAAAAAACTATAAAGTAAATGTAAATCATTCAAAAGTTAAAATGCTATGGTATATCTGTTACTTTCATCTCAGTAGGTTTCAGTATTTTATCTACCCATTTTCGTCTTAAGGGCCATCTCCACAAGGAGACATATCTGGGAACAAGTATCTGTGTACATCTATGGGGCCTGCACCTGTTTCTCTACAAAGGAAACATATAACCAGTATGTTAGATACATATCTGTCTGTCTGCAATGGGAATCATGATCGTTGCTCATGATGGATAAAGCATTTGACATCAGCTATTGAAACTGTGTATGGAAATCACGTGTCCATAAAGCAGTGGCAGCTTGTGAATCAACATTCAGCTTACTTAAGTTACAAAGAATTCTTTGGAACTTTTTATTATTTTAACAGACTTAATTTATCATGCTATATTTATTTTGGATCTTAAATTCTGATTGATTTCTTTCTAAATATACCAAAAAATATATTTTTCCCCTTCCTTGATGCAAGTGATTTGTTATAAATTATAGAATGATGTACTATTTTATCTCATTTGTTAGCATTAACTAAATCTGGTAGAATATTTTTCCTATTGAAATGAATTACTATATTCTTATATTCTAAAACTCTGGCAAACAGGGAAAGTTTAATTTATTTTCTGCTTCCATTTGATTATGTTTCCGATTTTCTATTGTAAATTATTTTCAGTTTTTTGACTAGGTCTATTTAGCTTGATTGCATGGTATATTTACTGAAATGTTTGAATAGGCTATGAACCAGCATTAATTTGATCACATGGCATATTTACCGAAAGGTTTGAATTTTTTGTGAATCAACAGACTGTGAGTTCAAATCCAGCTGAGTTATTTTGTGACTTTTTTCACTCAAAATAAATATTTTATTGTTTCTGTAATTTTTTAATTAACGTAAGTCTATTAATATAAAAATTATTAAAATTTTTATCCGCAACATGTAACAATTAGTTTATTATTATACATGATGTTTTATATTGATTAATTATTTACATAATAATTTTACATTAATGTATAAATATAATTAATATGTATATGCAGTACATTTCACAATTAATTGCTTTCCTTTCCTGCATCATTAATCGCTGTTACTTTCTGCCTTCTACTAAGCCTTCTGTTTCTCATTACCATTACTATTATTAAAATTATTTTTAAAACTGAGCCCTGAAATATACAGGTATTAAAATTTTATAAATTATATATATTATGCATACTGTGAAACCAGTGGTGGATACAAATCACGTCATCTGGTCATCACTTATTGACTCCAGCTTTTTATTATCATCAGATGAGAAGGAATCATGTTGAATAATCTTCACAATAGATTTCTCGGCTCTTGATAATTCATAAACTTTTAACTCTCCAGCTTCTCTTTCTTTTTTCCTCTTTTCGGTGTTTTCTATCAATCTGCGTATCTACCCAATCATTCTTAGCATTTTTGTGCATTTTGAAAAATAGCCATAGAATTTTGAAGACATATCACTAACATTGCTTAATGAAACTATAACTGTTTTATATTTTTCTGTATTAACATATTTATAACATGTTTTATATTTTTCTGTTATAGAATACCTTCCTTTATATTCTTCAGTATCAACCTTCTGTTTGTTATCGACTGGGATAGAAAGAGGCTATTCTTCTTCCGACAATACCAAGCAAAGTAGGCCCTCTCACCATCTTGTTTCGATGAGTTTCTTCACAGAACATCCTCATGATGGCATATCGGCTGGGTTTTCTGCGCCCTGCATATAGTACCGATTTTCACGGTTCGATAGGATTTTGAACCTCGGTTATTTAAGAGTGCTCCAAGCTTCTACGTTGTTTAACCAGAAGAGTGCAGTTGAAAAATCGGTCCAGTAATATTCCTTTGAACTTGCAACCTTAAGGTTTTCTGTGACAAATAATCACAATCCAATATGACAAGCGAGCAATTCAAGTCATGGCATACTTGTTTTTTTCTTTTTCTTTTTTTCAAGGGAGCTACTCATACTTTGGCTTGCAGTAGAGTCACTTTGACTTCTTCTTTATTTTGACTTCTCAAATATACTGCACTTGCATATGATCTCTGTGAAACATCATCAAACATATGCAAACTAAAAGATTTTCCTTCTCTCAGTGTAACTAGTCTGTGAATCTTTATGGATGATAACAAAGGCAGTTCTTCGACCCACTTCAAGAATTTTCTTGTGATATCTTCAAGTAACTCTGCTTCCCAGCTCAGTTTAGTTTCCCAGTTCTTTTGTAAGTATAACTTTCGGAGGTAGTGTAAAAGAGCAAGTGATACCTATTGGGTCAAAAACTCTCTGTGCAACTGATTGTATGTTTCACCTCGTTACTGAGAGATAAATTGCGTTGACATTAGGGATGTCACAAAACAACGAATCTTCATATTTATCCCACAGAAGACCAAGTATCTTCAATTTGTCACTGTTTAGTTCTGTTTGTTTCCACCCTCTTTAAGTCAATGTTAGCTTGCCATTAACTGAGTTGATTTTGCATTAGAGTATTCCGCTTCTTTATTCAAATTCAGTGAAGTGATACAGTTGTCAACATAGAACGAATTTTTCAATTTGCAGCCAATTCCTCCAAAGAAGTTTCACATTGGTCTAAATGAGAGTTGAACACTGCTCCTGAAAGAAACGGAATGCATTTTAGTCCGAAGACTACTCTGCAATGGCAAAGTTTTCCTATTTCCTTTGTTTCGAAGTTTCCCACCACAGGAATCTTAGGAAATCACAGCCACTTTTTTGAACAGATACTTGAAGAAAAACTCTTTTAATATCTGAGATAATCCCTGTTTTTCCTTGTCTAAAATCAAGAAGCAATCTAGGTAACAATTCAGTTAAATTTTGACCTTTTGCTGGATGCCTTTAAGTGACCGGAAATCCTTTTGTTTGTATGAAGCATCAAATATAGGTCTTACTGCTTTTGTTCAGTTAACTTTGAAGGCCAGTTGGTGAGGAAGATAATGATTGTTAACTCATTCCTTTTCTACTGGTACTTTTTCTGTTACTCCAGATTCGATAATATGTGTCACAACTGAGATGGAAAAAATGTACGGAATAGGGAAAGGATGAACTGGTCAAATTTTTAAGGCTTGCAAAGATGCTAAATGTTTAAAATCTCTGGTAATTCAATATTATTCATCAACAAGCTCTTTGTGGGAAACACCTCAACCTGTCATGTGTCATTGAACCAGTTGTATCAATAGTAAACTTTATTTGCTCTCGTAGACTTAACCATTACTAGTTTCCTGAATTTTTATTAGAGACTGAAGCTGAATATCCTGATTTGCCTTATCCATACAGCTATTTGATGGCTCAATGGGAAACTTTTGTTGAGGTTCTTTGAACTGAAGGAAATTGCAGATATTTTTTGAAATGAGAAAAATTGCCCACAACCTCTTATCAAACACAAATGGCTACGAAAATTAATATTTGCCACAGACATCATAGTGTATCTCATTTAATTCAATTTAAAATTATAGGGAAAACAGCATTCATATGTGAAATGTATTTTATCATAAAGGCATATCTCTGAAAATTTGCATAGTTTGAAATGCAAATTACATTAAAGAAAGTGGACCATTTTCCATGCTATAAAAATTTTCAAATATTGGTGAAATTCCCATTTCTAAATCTCCCCTTGAAACTTATACTACTCGATCAGTTTACAAAATGATGTTTAAGGAAATGAATCTAACTGTAACTCTATTTGTATGGTTTTACTTGATCTGGTAGTGTTGCAAAGTTATAAGAAGGTTTAATTAACCATTTTATGTAAACAGAACTGAATTTTATAAATATCTTGCAGAAAATTAATATGCTGAATTAAAATCATATGCACAGGGATGAACATCAATATTTAGGAGCATTTAAAAATGCAAAAAGACATTTTTGAAAATTAAATATGTAAAATTGCAATTCAGATCATTATTAACAAATGACCATTTGCAAATAATTTCTAATGGCAGGAAGTACTAATTTCAAGCTCCTGTATGGTGAAATATTATCTCAGAAAAAACAATTATATTCTTCATATTAAAAATGCAAATGTATTTAATGATAACATTTTTAAATTTGTAATTGTAAATCTTTTATTCTTTATTCTTTTTGTAAATGTGTATAAATATAAAATAGGCAAATCGACAACCTTGTATTCGGCGTAGATTTTTAAATTATATATATATATATAAATATACTTCATAACAAAAAAATGGTCTGCCTTTTTTTTTTCTTTTCCTTCTGAGAAAATTACCCCTTCATATTTGTTATTTGGTCTGCAAGCCTAAAATTTTCACAATCTGAACATTTCTAAAAAAGTTTGCCTATCCGTCTTTTATATAACAAAGTATTTTTAAATTATAAAATTCAAAAACTAGACAATGAATGATTTAGTTCTAAGAAATATTGCCAGAAATTGCTGAAATTGATGTGAGGAAAGCTATTTAGCCTATGAAATGCTTTGATGTTTTTCAGTATTTTTAGGAGCTGAAAGTAAATTAATGTAAGCTTTTTACAAATTTCTATTTTTATTTTTTCTACACAAACTATTGTTAACTTCCTTTTATAGTTAAATTAATCACTCGTAAAATGGTTGTAAAAGACAAGCATTTATTTAAAGGTAAATCTTAATAACCTACACAAAGTCTTCATAACCTATACAAAGTCTCTATAACGCAATGGTTTGCACACTGTTCGCTTGGGCCTTTTAAGTTCATCATCGTCTTCGTCATTATCGTCATCGTCGTCATTGTCATCATCATCATTTGCTTCTGCATTTTTCCAAGATTTTAGTTGACTTACTACATGAGCAGTTGATGTGTAAAAGCGACCATCGCAGGATTCTTCTAGTTGTGATATTCTATAAGTGTCGTCTGGAAGTACTTCTGTCACAACCATTGGACCACGATACTTAGGTTGAGTTTTGGTTGGTTCTCCTGGTGTAGATTTTGAATTTCTTTTAACTACTACTATTTCTCTATTTCTCTTGCTCAAATGATAGAGATCCCGATTTCTTCTTGTCATAATAAGTTTTCATTTTTCCTTGTTCTCTAACAATTTTTTCTCTAGCTTCTTTTTGTAATTTTTCCGGTTCCTTCCAAACTTCTGCTTCTTCATCAGCAAGTAATCTCAAAACTCCATCTTGAAATAATGGTACATATCCATGAAGTATTTCAAATGGTGTTTTCCCAATAGTTTTATTGATTGTGTTATTCAAGTTTCTCTCAACTTCTTTAATTCTTTTGTCCCAATCCTTTTAATCTTTACTTTTCATTGATGTTACTATCGTTGATAAAATTGTTCTGTTCGATCTCTCGACCATACCATTCCCTTGTGGATGGGAGGTTGAATTTAATGTATGAAGAATTCCCTTTTCCTTGCAAAAATTTTGAAATTCCTCATTAAAACTCATTAAAATGCAACTCATTAAATGCATACTCATTAAAATGCAAATTATATATATGTGCTATTATTATTAACTTCCAATTTAGACATCTTAGTAGAACACAGTTATTGTTATTTTATAAGTTTGTTTGACGTTCTAAATATATTTCAAAATTTAAAGGAATGAAAAAAAAAAAAATCTCTTTCCAAAATGCTAAAAAAATAACAAAATTAAATTCTGCAATAAATATGTTACATCAATCAATGCACATACCTTGAAATTCAAATTCTTTTCAATTTATTTACGTATAGCAAATTCTTGTAGCTTTAGGCTTAGGTTTCAGAATAATCCCGCTTCTGATTTATGTTAACTTCCTTTTATAGTTAAATTAATCACTCGTAAAATGGTTGTAAAAGACAAACATTTATTTAAAGATAAATTTTAATAATCTACACGTAACGTATTCGTAAACGTACATAACATAACAAACGTACTTACTGCATCGTACCATTAAACATTTCAAGCATACATCATCTCAATATCTTTTTAAAAATTATAAATAGAATGACATCCAGAAATTAGCTATTGCCATTTTTTCAATAGATATTTTGTCTAATAACAATTAAGTAATTTACAATTGTGCTTACACTATATGCAGCTTAAATAAATTTGTAGGGTTTTACTTGATCTGGTAATGCTACAAAGTTGTAAGAAGTTTTAATTTACCATTTTATGTAAATAGAATTTAGAACATAAATGCATTCTCTCATGTAACAGTATCAGCCACAGCTCATTATACTGCAACTAAATATGACAAAAAAATTAAGTGAAATATGGAAAAGTAGTCAAATACCACACAATTAAATATTACTATAAGCTGGCTCAATAACTCTGTCAGAATGTCAAAACAAAAGTATCAGCAGTGATAGAACACAAAGCTGAATAATTACAACTGTCAGAGCTGGCAGGAAGCTAACATGTAAAGTGCAAGCAAAGCCAGAAACATGCTCTGTCATAAAATCTAAAAACCTCGCTTTAAATACTGGCTAATTCATTTGCATTCTGGTGAGAAATACGGAAACGAGAAATTATAGCAAAGACCAAAATATAATAATTGGATAATTTAACCTTAAAAATTTATTAGAGAAATCTGAACCTCAGACAACTTATAGATTAAGAAGAAGGAAAGTAAATATTTTTAATGTATTAATCATTATGTATTATTAATAATAATATTTATGTATTATTATGTATTATGTATTATTAATAATACGTAGTTTTTGCAGTTCAAATTCCATTTCATACTTTCGTTTTCGTTCCTCATATTCTTCTTTCCGCCTACGTTCTTCATCTTGACTAACATGACTAACTAACTTCATCAAACTAACATGTAAACTAATATATTAGTTTACATGTTAGTTTGAAAATTGAAACTGTTACATTTTTAGTCAGCTGACATTGCTAATGGTTGCAGAAAACTTTTCACATCAACTATAGAATTTAGACAGAAAAACCTTGCTATGATGAAATCACAAGTGGAAATATTACAAGAGAAAGAAAAAGTGTTAAATTCTTTTAAGGATTTTGCACCTGAAATAGCTGCATCTATAAAATATGAGGTATGACTTTTATTATTATTATTTTTACAGCTCATTCTACTTGTAAAGTAAAATGCAATTACCTTTTATGATTACATGAAAAATGTATGACATACTCAAATAATGTGTGATTATAAAAGTTTTTGATAATAAATTTTATTATTTAATTTTATAAATTTATCTTTTGAATTTAATTATAGTGCTAAGTTTTATAATGCTTATGTTACTTGTATTAAATATTTTAATTAATTTTTACAAAATATTTGTCCTTTAAGCCTGAAAATGAGTTTTTGCTATGTCTCTTATTCTTTGTCTAAAGTGCGAGTGAAATAAAAGTGGGGAAAAAGATAGCATTAATTAGATATTTGTTGTTTTTCCCTATATTTAACTACTTTTAAATATTGTTTTTAAATTTATCAATATTTTAACTACCGAAAATTTATCTCTGCACATATAAAATATAAACTGAATACTGATTTATTAAATAAATATTCTTCTTCAAATGTAACGAAATATTTATATTATAAAATTAACTGTCACAAAAATTCTCGAGTCTTGCTTCATATGCACAGGAAGTCACCTGTTCATATGAACAATGGATAAATTTCTGGTAAATTTGGGTATAAAATTTAAAAAATATATAAAATTATTTTTTTTAAATTGTGTAGATCAATTTTTCTGCCATTGCAGAATCCTTAGTTTTTATATAAGGTACATTTTGGAATCTCAAAGAATCCTTACAGAGAAGTGTTATACTATATATTACTCATGATATTGTAAAATTATTTGTTATTTATTTATACAATACTTTATTTGTTAATATTGCTAAATTATTATATCTGTTTGGATTATATCACAATAATCTATATTTTATGGGAAATATAGTAATAATTAATCTATGTAATTTGACACAATGATCATATGTAAGATCATATGTTTAAATTGGCTTGTCTTATAAAATTTCTTTGGCTCTAAACTTAGTCCTCCTCCCCACGGAATCTCGAATTTTATTTCTGATACAAATAAGTAATATAGATAATGGGGAAAAAAAAAATAGTGGAAGACAAAATTTTAATTACAAGTTTTTGCCATGGGTAATTTTAGGAATGTGTGGAAAAAGTAGGTTTTCATGATGGAAGGCAAAATGTGTGCATCTCGGTTATTTTTTCATTATGGGGGAAAAAAAAAAAAAAAGGAAAGTCCTGATTCTATAATTCTCATCAGCACTGATACCATCATGGTGAATCATTGCTTATTATTTTTCCCTTTCATTGCTGTATAACTATCAACATAATGCAGTTTGAGGAATGACTCACTCAGCCATGTTTAAACACTCTTTTATATATATATATATATTAGTAACTGAATTACTAAAGAGCATAGGGACCTTTTATGTTGATACTACGTATGGTGATTATTACAGACTCTGCTAACTGTGCTGCAAAGTATTGAGTGTGTTAATAAGGAGAAATTTAACTAAAATTTCTTTCCATATGTAAAAAATAGATTTTCAAAGTGATGCTTATATAGGCCAGAAGATTATATGTAATGCTGTTTGAATTAAGAATAACTAATTTTTCATTCAGATAATCCAGGACCTGTGCCATGGTGGTGGCATGATTTAGGGAAGGCAAAAATTTTAGAATTTAGAGAAGCACATAGCAACAAAATTGAGGGTTGCAAAGTATTTGGTATTTTGGTAAGGTCACTAGGAAGCAAAATTTTTAGAACTTACGGAGACATTTGGCAGCAGAATTTCAGATCCATGGAAGACTGCACACGGATGCAGAATGTTTAGCACCTATTGTCCATAGCCTTAAGTATAAGTGGGAATTTATTTCTTCAGGATGCAGATAAGTCTTAAGCATGTGCAGGCAATAATTGTTAAGTATAACAAATAACTAATATAACTCACTTAACTTTGTCAGCATGCAATAGAAGCAAGACAAAATTTAGCAGAACAACATGTGCTTAGTAGCCAATCTCATGATACATAGTGCAGCGGTTCTCAACCTTTTAACTAACATGTACCATCTAAACAAAAATTGAAAAACTTTAGTACCATCATTACATTTTAGAATAATTATTTATAAATTTTCAATATAAATGTAAAAAAAATATGTTTTGCCATTTGCACAAACTGTTGGCTATTTGTATTAAATACACACAAATAAAAAATATCAGATTAAAAATTGGTTGCCATTTTAGTTATCAAGATTTAAGTTATAAAACTTTAATTCTAAAATTTAATGTGAAATTTTTCCTAAAGTTTAAAGAGAGATTAATTTCTTTATGTCTGCTATTCATTCATTTAGTTTTAACCGTAAATTAGGATCCACTTTTAATTTTGTTCTGTATTTATTTTTCAAATATATCATGAAAGAAAATCCTTGTTCACACGAATAGGTTGTGCAAAAGGCAATAAAAATTTAATAGCTTTATTTGAAATGCCTTTAATTTTTTTTTTTTTTTTTTTTTTTTTGTTCAACCAAAAATTAACAAGTGCCTTATTTTTGAAATCTTCAGTTACTGTTCGATCACAAGAAATTTCTATCAATTGCTCATGTTCACAGCTTTTTCAGGGATTGCTTTGGCTGCTAAAGCTTCATGATAAATGGAGCCAGTGAGTAAATTTCCCGAGCTTCATCACTGCATATGATAATGTGCTTATTCCAAGGAATATCATTCTCAGACATAAAACTGAAATTTTCATTTGCAGTTGCTGTATCATGAAAAGATTCACAAAATAAATACTCTTCAACAATTCGTTTATCTTCTTCGTAAAGTATGTAAACTAATAAGTGAACAAAGTTCATTATATCTGTACTTTCGCCCAATTCCAATGCAAAATATTCACTGTGTTTTATTTTTTGAATGTCTCTTTTATGAAAATTGCTATTTTGTGAATTCTTTGACTTACTGTATCATTTGATAATGGAATATTATTAAGTTCATTAGCCACTTTTTCATAGAATAATGTTAAAATAATATTTTTAGCCACTGGTAGTATAATATTTTTTCTTCAATATTCTGAGCCTGCCCAGTCTTGGCAATTTTTAGGCTTACTAGGTAACTAGCTTCCAAAGCTTTTTCACTTGCAGTATCAAAACATTTCATTACTTGTTTACTATTTTTGAACTCTAATAGTTTCCTATTAAAATGCTTTTCAGATTTGTCCTTTAAATTAGGATGCTTAGATTCAAGGTATCTTTTAAGAAACGAAGATTTCATACTTTGATTGGATAAAAGACCACAAACAACACATTGAGGTTGAAGGTCCATTTCATCTCGATTCCAAGTAAACCCAATGGATTTTCTGTAAACAATTTTTCTTTTCAGTATTCTTAGTGCTACTAGATTGTCTTGGATTCATCACCTGTGAGTCATCACTTTTCCGCTTTGTCAGTTCTAGTCATTTTTCCATTTTGAAAATGCAAGTTTGTTTTATTACTTTTTCACAAATGTTTAAATGCACAATATATTATGAGTTCTTCAAAAACAAGCGATGATATTCTTAAATTATGTAGAAATGTATGGAATACAAAGCAACAAGAAGACAAAATACTTGCCGTTAGAGACATCAAATAGACACAAAAAAAATTATTCTAATTGAAAATATGAGCCTGGAAATGGTGGCGAATAAAGTGTAGAAATGCTAATAGGTTGATCAACTCTATTATTTTTTTACAGAAACTTATTTTTATTTCCTATTTAATACAACATCTGTTTCTCTTACTCCTTTTAAAAACATCATTTATGACAAAGTTTATTATAGCTATGATTAAAAGAATATTTGTGAAAATAAAAACAGATTATTTTACTAACATCGATGAGCGGCTGTATTTTACTAACATCTATAAGCTTAAATGGCATAAATTTATGACCGTTAGAGAAAAACTTAGGATGTCGAGGTATTTAATTTTTGAATTTAATAGTTAAAAACACTTCGTTTCTTTGAGTACCAACTATTTTTCTCTTGTGTACCACCGTTTGAGAATCGGTGCAATAGCGTATAGCGGATGCTAACTATGCTTTATGAATGACAGCAGTGAATTTGAAGATTTTCAGATATCGTAAACAAAAAGAGAAATTTTCCAATGAATGGAATTGGTGATGAAATGTGGAGAAGTTTTAATAAATGAAGTTGGTGTAAAAGAAGTTTTTCGTCATGCTGACAATGTACCAATCATTTAATGTATGGCTAGAAAATATTGCTATTGATAATGAAGAAAGTAACACAGAGGTTGTTCAGAATGAAAAAAGTTCAGTCAACAATTTAGAGATAATTCTTGATGCAGAAATCTCAGGAACAAAGAAGAAATTGTTTTTATCTATAGATCTAAAGAGAAAGCACAAAAAGCAAAACAAATTAATCAGTTTAACATTGAAAGGAATTTTTAATAAAGCAAACAAATATATATTGAGCCTTTTTCTTTTCCATTCTTTTCTTTCCTCTTTTTTTATTTTTATTTTTATTTATTTATTTATTTATTTATTTATTTTTTTGTGTGTGTAAATTTTGATTCTTTTAAGGTCATTAATGTTTCACAAAACACTATTACATGTTCTTAATTTTATAGTTTCTACATGTCATATTACTAGATTTAAACTATGATCTAATATCCGGAAAATTCCCAAATCTAGAATTGTCGAAGTCCTGACAAGTCCAGATTTTGGACTTTGTACTGTATTTATAGCATGTCTTTCAAAGCAGTCCTCTGTTACTGAAAAAGATTGATATTGAGCCTTTTTCTTTCTTTCTTTTTTTTTTTTTTTTTTTGTGTGTGTGTGTGTGTGTGTGTGTGTGTGTTTGTAAATTTTGATTTTTTTAAGGTCATTAACGTTTCATAATTTCATAAATCACTATTCCATATTCTTTTTTATAGTTTCTAAATGTCACATTACTAGATTTGAACTTATGATCTAATATCCAGAAAAATCCAAAATCCAGAATCATCAAAGTCCTGACAAGTCCAAATCTTGGACTTGGTACTTTATTTACAGCATGTCTTTTAAAGTTCATTAGTTTTCAAAGTTACTGAAAAAGATTTATACCACTGTTTTTCCCAATCTTTGAAGCATGAAACATTCTTGGGTCTTAAAGAAATTTCACAAATTTTTTTTTTTTTTTTTTTTTTTTTTAAATAGTCCAAAGGCAATTTGCCCTGAAGGTCTATTATTTTCATTTTGGCATTTTGCGTTGAAAACTTTAAAAGGCTGTATCACTTTTCAAATTGTTGCCACCAAATATTAGAGCCCTGTATTATATTTAAAGAAATTAAATAATGAAGAATCTGTATAAATGCATTTATGTTTCTCACATTGTTATAAACAACGTGAGAGCCATCCAATTTTAAATAACACATGTTTCCATACGAATATGGGCATCTGGAAACCGAAATTTGGAATTTGTTTTATTATCTATTTCATATTTTGTAAACCTTTAACGAATTTTTGATTAACAAACTCAATGATTTAAGAGCGAGCAATGGCAACACTCAATGGGGGGAGGTGAGACATTTTATCTCCAGAGTGCAGAACTGTGAATCCGAAGTTCCAAAGATATGCTCATTTTAAAATTATTTTGCGATATTGCTGTTGAACTGAATTTTATGTTTAAGTGCGAAGAACATGATAATTAATAAATAAAGGTAACAAACAAAACGTTAAAAAAAGCACCCCTTTGGACATAATTTAAAATCTGAAACCTATTAGATTTTTTAAATCTTTAGAACCTGCAGCAAATTTTCTTCTGTTGCAATCAATAAACTGGAAATGGTGGCTGCCAAGTGGCAATTTTAATCATTGAATTAAAAAAAAAAAAGTACAGTGCTAATATGAAGTAAATACAAAAATCGTTTAGCTGTATTAATTGATCTTTAAATATGGTTTTGTGAGATGCATTATTATTTTAATGTTCATGTTATGATTAACAGCATAATCATTCTTAGAAAATAAAGGTAAAAAAGCTTACCTTTTAGTCGATCTTCTTTCTCGATCCAAAGGCATATCCAGGAATATTTTTATTAATTACACACATCAAAGGCACTACTCACGCAAAAAGAGAGGCTTCTAAGATAATAAGATATTTAGTTTACAAATCATGTCACTAAGATATATATATAACACAGAAGAGGATTACATGCTTCACTCAAACGTCCTACACGAGTTCTAAAAGTTCAGTTATAGTTCTATTCCAGTTTTTGCTGCGCACATGCGCAAATCATGGGGTGGTTGGTGAAAAGTTCAACAATTATATTGCAAAATCCAGGAGTTATCTCATCATGATTCAGGTTTTTTTTTTAAATCAGATTGCTTCATGCAAATGACACAAAACACTTAGATAGTGCGCTTTGATAACAATTTGAGCAGTTGATAGGAATTCAAGATGCACAACATCACTTCATTTAAAAAAAAAAAAAATTAGTAATTGAATTTTGACTTACTGAAGCATGGTCTTTCTGGTGTTCCTTTACTTGACTGTTGAGTTTTTCTTTATCAAAAGTGTAGATTTATTTTTCATCATCAGTAGTAATGTGTTTTAAGTAAGGTTTAACATAAGAAAGATCTTCAGGAACATGTTGTTGTTTTTGAAAAATAATTGTCAAGAATAATTAAATTATCAAGAATAGTCAAATTATCAAAAATTAAAATTAATTATTAAGAATCATTAAACAAATTTTTATGCTTGAAGAAGTGGGGCTTAAGTCTGATTGCCATTAAAGCTGATTGAGTTTCATTCAACACTTCTATGGCTGGCTGAGAGTATTTTTTTTGCATAATTTTAAGTCTTCATGATATTTTGGTTACTTGATCATATTTTGCAGGAATAAAAATGATTTTTACAGAAATCAACAGAAGTAATGGAATGTGAATGTTTAACCAGAAACCTAAATTCAAAATTTTTGTGGAAGGGAGGGTGAAATACTCAGTCCTCTAACATTAGTTGAAAAAGTGTTTATTTTTAAATCAATATATCTTAGGGATTCTTGTTAGTAAACTGCTGATGTGATTAGTAAATCTGTGACATACTTATTTCCATTTTAATCTAGTGAATATGCTTTTAGGCACTCACGACATGTAAAGATCTAGTCCTTTCCTCAGTTGATTCAAAGATGAAAGAAATTGATGATTTTATTGGTTATATGAAAATTTTGGACGACTATGAACACAAAATAGAAATGCACTTATTACAATTGGATCCTGAGACACAAAAAACAGTATTCACAAAACTTGAAAAGGTTTTTCTTTATATTAATTTTATTTTTAATCAAACATGATTAATACATGGTTAAAACATCTTTATGATGCTAAATAAATTTTATTCTTATACTGATATAACTATAATATAAATAGTAAGTTGTTTGTTTAATATAAAAGGTTAAACTTATATTTCAATATCCAGTTTAACATGCAGCTGCAACTAAAAAATTAAATTTTATTACTCTTTGTTCTCTTAGTTTTAATGTGTAACTAAATGTTAATTTTGAATTAAATTTTAAAGTTGGAACTTCGCTTCTATTTCTGTAGTCAAAATATTTTTATGTTCAATCTTTATATTATGTGGTAATTGCACTTACTTGAATTTTATTTATAAATATATTTGTACATTTATAGCTCTTGCTATCCTTAGAGTGCAAGCAAAACTACAGAAATGTTGGAAAATTTTGTTATGCAATTAATTATTGCATCACTTAATGCATAGTGAACAAAAATGCATGAAGCAAATACTGGATATAACAGACATAATTATGATTTATCTGTCAGCATGTGTAAATTGAAAAATAGTTTTATATACATAAAAGCATTTATAGAATTGTCCTATTTGCTTCTCTTCCTGAATATTACACCCCTTTGATAGCCACACATTTGCAACACCTTCTAGACCAGTGCAAAGTTTGGGCAACTCAATCCAGGGGTCATAATCGTCTTTACAGATGAGAGTTGCTTCACTCTCATAAACAATTCTAGATACCAGCTGATATGGCGAGAGAAGTGGGGATATAAATTCATGCCAGTAACACCAGAAAGAAGCCTGTTCCATGGTCTGAGCTTTCGTTCCATGTCTGGATAGGTAATACATTAAATGGCCATACTGAATTATTACTGAAGATCATATTGTCAATAAGTGACCCACTTGCATTTGTTTTGAGTTGTCTCTGGTGCAGGCATCATTTTTATGAATGATAAAGTCAGAAAGATCAGACTCAGGCTGTGAAGAAGGTTATAGAAATTAAAGATATTGTTCTAATTGATTAGCCAGCATACAAATCTAATTTAAATCTTATGGAATAAGAATGAAATGCATTGAGATGTGCTTTTCTGTATGAACACATCACCAGGAAACAACCAATAACTGAAATATGTGCTCATTTAAGAATGGATTCTTTATATCAAGAACTGTTTGGTAATCTCTTAGTGTACATGGAAAGGTAGAGTCATGCAGCCACTGCATGCAGTTAAAGGAGATTATATCTCTTATTAAAGGACATTAGTTTAGTATTCTCTATCTGCCTGTTTGATCCTTTTTTCTGCTTGATTCCATACTTCATACTCATTTTTGTGCTAATTTGTTTTTCTTAGTCTGTTCTCTGAAATTTTTAGTTTTCAGGTTCCAGGTTCCCATTTTTGTAAAATCATGGAGTGAAAAAAATTCATGCTTAAATTTTGATCATTAATGTATGTTTATATATGTCACCTGTGAGGTATGAAAGACGGCATTTCATATAATAGACATTTTGTAGAATACAGAAAAGTGGCCAGCAATGTACAGATCAGTTAACATTTATACATTGCCTAGGCATTCTGTAATCTGCCAAATTGGCAAAGTATGAAATAAATCTCTGATTTGTTTTGAATACCCTTACATTTATACAAAATCCATACCTTTAATACATTCATTTAATAATTCCATCCATCTTGTATGTTTTCACTGAGAAAGTCATAAATTTTGTTTTGTATAGCTTTAATTTTTCTTTATGTATTTTGAATAAAGGTTTTTTTTAATTGTATTCTTTCATTTCTTTTTCAAAATAATATATTTATTTTTTAAGGAATGCATGTCTTTTAAATAATAGCCTTATCATGAGCCTTTATCATGCTTTCCCTAGATAGCACTTGCCATTCGATAGAATGCCTAGGTACTATATAAAATGCCCAGGGGAAATATATAAGAATTCTCATATTTCTTACTTTGCCTAAAATGCCAAGCATTCTATAAAATGCCTAAGTATTCTATAGAATAACAGCATTTCATATATTGCCAGTAATATATATACAGGGTGATTTGGTGCTGTGCATACAAGCTTCTTGGAGGGGTAGGTTATTCGAAGACAAAACAGAATCAAATAGTAATGCAAGATAGAGAATGCAATCACAACATAATAGAGAAAGTTATTCAGGAGCCAGTGCCCCTCTGTGCAAGAAAACCATCATTTGTCAACTTTCACAAGTGCAGAGATGCATCTAGCATATGGTGCTGCTTATCATAATGGACAAGATGCTTGTACTTGTATTAGCAATGCTACAAGATGAGTTATATTCCAAATGATGAGACATTTACATGTTTGCATCAGGGATTATGTGAAATGGTTTCCTTCTGAGATATGCCACGAATTGGGAACAAATAGCATGAATCCCTGAAATCAAAGAGAAAATGCTTCATCATACAAGAGATAATCTAGCTACTAACTCTAATCTTTCCCAAACTGTCATCTAGAGGATGCTGAACTCGGGTTAGTTGTGCCCATACCATGAGCAGCATATGATCACTGATAGAAGTTGCTTTTGTTCAATGGTATGTGTAAAAAAAAAGGAGGCAGATTCCCTTTTTTCTGGATTCTTATTCACACCTGAAGCATACTTCACCAAATAATGTTTCTATAAACTACATAACTTGCATGTATGGGCAGTGGAGAACCTCCCATGCTACATGCACACGTGCAGCACAATGCTGGATTGCTGTTAGTGCTTGTTCTGACATTATGAAAACCACTTAAAAGGCCTGTATCTCTTGCCAACTCATTTGGGGAAAAAAAAAAAAAAAAAAAACTGTTGCAAGATTTTTTAATATGAAGTCTTTTGTTGTTGTATAAGCATTGGATCTAACAGTTGCTGTGTCATGATATATGGCTACAGTATTATAGGGCCTCAGCTCACTTCAGCCATGACTGATGGGATCTCTTGCGACATTTGAACAATAACGAATGCACAAATTATGGTGGTTCCATTCATTAACCTATGCATTTTTGTCAGACCTATCCTACGTGAATTTTTTTTTTCTGGAATCATATGAAAGGTCTAATGTATGATAACCTGTGGATGGTGGGGAAGATACATTGTTTTTCTCATGCACATCTGCATAACTGCCATAATCTTTGGAGAGATGTCCAAAATATTTCAAAAGATCAGCGACTTCAGTAGGTGCCAATGTCAGGATTGTATTGAAGCTAGGGTCAAAACTTTGACCACCTTGTTGGATCTCTCTTTATTATTTCAATTATCATACAGGGTGTTTATAAAGTCCCGGACCCATTTTGATGTTTAATAACTCATAAAATAATAAAGCTAGATTAAAATTAATAACATAAATGGTTAGATAGACTCAAAAAGTTTCATGACCCTTGCCAATGAACTTCCACGTGTGCCCCCTTCGTTGCACGAAGAATATCAAGTCGATATTCAATTTCACACCAGGTACCGGCAAGCATGTCGGCATCCTCAGAGGCTATTGCGGTTGTAATTCTGGCTTTTAGGTCATCAATGTTCGACACTCTCCTCCTATAAACGTTGTCCTTTACAAATCCCCAAAGTCCATAACATCGCAATAGTTGCCAAAAACAAAAGAGAGAAAAATGCAATCAAGCAGACGATATTTAGAAAAGTACAGATATTTAGACTGGAAAATGAAATTTCCTGAAATTAACCACATGCGCAGACGATATTTACAAAATTAAAGATATTCAAACCTGAAAAGGAAAATATATAAGTTATTCCATCAATAAATGCCATAAGTTTGTTTATATCTTCATTATTTTATGAGTTATTAAACATCGAAATGGGTCCAGGACTTTATAAACACCCTGTATTTAGATGAATAAAATAATAATCTTCACTTTTTCATTTCTCATGCAGTGCTGACTCTGCATTGCTGTCTGATCCCGATTGATCTTTGAGTAACCTATTCTTCCCAGAAGTTCATACACATAGTAGCAAGTCACCCTGTGTATATATATATTGCATATAAACTATATTAATGTTATCAATATTATATATAAAAACTGTTGCTTAAGCTAAATATCTGATTGCACTAAATATCTAACTGAGCTGTACTGAATTTATTTTATGAGGTTCCTTATTTTTATTCTTCTAATATGCTTGCTATTTAGTTAAAGGAGGTCATTCATAGTTAACTGTTTTTAATAGATGCTGAGTAAATTATCTATATCATTCTATTTTCAGTGCCTCTTTCACATCTGTTAGTGACTCCTAGTATTCCTTCTAATGTAGTTGCATATATTTCCATTACTCTTAGTTTCTTTATCAGTTCTCCTTCCCCCCTTTTTTTCTTTAATTTTAATCTGGATTTTTAGATTACAGCAAAATACACCAAGGCTCTCCTTAAGGGGGGGATACCTTTGTGCAAGATTTTCCAACTAGCTGATATTCATATTACATACAAGGAAAACCATTAAAACTGATTGTGGCCAGCTTATTCACTAGAATTTGGAGTTAGAAAAAAGTACCTTGTTCAGAGGATTTATCTACTTGTCTAATTGTTATTGGAGCATTTTTATATTATGTATTGAATATATACTGTTGTGGGTAATAAAATGAAGAAAAAGTCATTATGCAGAGGAACAGACTTGTAAATGCATCTTTTTACTGTAATGTTCTGTAAACTACTGATTGTTGTAAGCCAGTGGTTACAGCGTTGCCAGTTTCTATAGACTGCTAAATTGATGAATGCTGCTGCTAGCTGGTATTTGACTATAAAAAGTTTTATGTCATTTTTAATTTCATATTAACTGGTAAATCACTTGCTATGTAACATTAATAATATTTTACTTGTGCCAACTGTTTATTGCACAAACCAATTTCATATTTAGGATTTTCATGTAATTTATAAATTAAAGTGTAGTAATATTTACATGATGATCTTATGATGAAAAAAGAATCATAATTTTATTTCCTCACTTTATTAACTAGAAATTCTAATAATGCATATTGTATCTAAACAGGCAAAGGATACTGTAGCAACTTGTAAAACGCTTTGTGAAAATGCTTTTGAAAAGACAAAAAAAGAAGTAAAAGATGCAGATGAAGAATTGCAGAAGCTTAAAGGAGTTCTAGAAAGTGCTAAGGTTTGTAACTTATAATTTTGCATTAAAGTGAGGTTTCATTGTACTGAAAGACTGTATAGGTTTTCATTTCAGAAAATAATTACTGTAAAGCAACAGTACATGTTTTAAAATTTTCTTTATTTGTAATTATTTTTATCAATCAAAAAGCATATTTAATTCATTGTATTTCAGAACTATACCTATGAATTTTATGGAGTGACAGGAAATTTGACTGAGTGTTATGTTCATTAATCATTCATTACCTCTTACTCATATTTAATATGTTATTTTTTTGTACTTAAAAACAACAGTTTTACCAGTAAATAATAATTATATTTGATTTTTTTCCTGGCACTAAACTGAATCTTCTGTCTAGCTCAGCCTAACAAAATGAATCAGTATTTATCTCTTTAGAAAATGGAATAACTTATATGTTTTTTTAAGTGTCATTAATAGTAACAAGTAATTTTTAAATTGGGCTAACAATCGGACATAGAATTGCAGTCAGCAGTAAAGCAAATCCTAACATTACTTGTTTTTACTCTTGATTAAAAATCTTTTTTAATTATCTATTCATTTAGATGAATAAACAAAATGGCTGGCTTCTGTGCTACTGCAAAAGAACTAGATTAAAAGTCTTTGCATTCAAAAGAACTGAAAGAAAAGAAAATATTAAGTTAAGACTGAATTGTTAATTACAAAAATAAATCTTATGCAGGAAATAAATTTATATAAATATAAGTTGAATTTTAACTTCAAAAGTATTAGGCTCCAAATTTCAACCACAAATATATAGCTGTTGATAGTATTAAGAATTATTTCATTCTAAATTCTGAATAAGTATGTCATATGAAAGATTGTATCTCACATGTTGATCCATTCCTTTATGTTTATTGTTACAACTCTAAAGATTTGTTGTATGTTTGATCTTTCCATTGAGTATTGAATTAATTGTCTAGCATAAAGCTTCGGCAATAAATTTCAACATTTTACATTTTGAACAAACTTATATTTCTAGCTCTAATGCATTTTAAGTTCTAAATAGGTTCTTAAAAGAACGAAAATAATTTAAAAAGAGTACAATTTCCTTTCGTCAAAATATTTGCTGCTACAAAATCTATGAATCTTGTAGAATTAAGAAATAATAGCAGTTGATGTTTCAACTGCTATTAAATTACAACAGTCAAAAGGAATATTGAACAGTGTTTAAGTGCAGAATTCTGGATCAAATTGTAAACAAAGTATTTTACTCTTTATCAGTAGGATCCTTACTTATTCTGTAAAACATTTATACACATTAGGCAGAAAATCACAATTAGCTAATAGTGATAAAGAAGTTGGGCATGAAATGGAAATACTTCTGAGGTAAGATCATCTGGTTGTTAGATTAACTTCTTTCTGTCTTGAATTCAAGACTGAGTCTTCCACAAGAACGAAAATATTGGTTCAGAAAATTTCAGCAAAGAAGGAAGGATTGCTTTTTAAAAAGACTGTTTTCCATGCACACTAAGAAATATTGTTTCAGTCAAAAAAATTTCTGTTATGTAATATTTCTAATTTAAACTTTAAGCAAGCCAAGTATCCATGGAAATAGCCATTTTGTTACAATTATTAATACATATTTATTTTACAGAGATTCATGTTGAAGATGATTTACAGTTACATAATATGACAAATTAAAATGGATGCTTGAATTTCTTACATAATTAAACTGTATGGATTTTTTATGTAATTTCATTTATTAATATTGATTTGGCTGTGAAAACTTATTACTCAATATCATATCTCTCATCAATCAGCTTCTGTGAAGATTTGAAGAAGGCATCAAAAATGTTTAAATCACAGATCTTTAATGATGTTTTTTTTTGCTTGGTTTATTTGCTGTAATTAGATAGGTACATAAAAGAGGGGTTATATTACATGGGTTTAATTAATGGGAAAATAAAAGCCCATTGGATTTTATATTGTATACAGTCAAAAGTCTTTAATACGGACTTGTCGGGACTTCGGCGATTCTGGATTATCGATTTTTCCAGATTATAGATCATCAGTTTAAATCTGGTAAGATGGCAGGCAGAAATTATAAAATTAAAAATATGAAACCATAATTTATGAAATAAAGAGCAATTATGATCTAAAGGGTATCAAAATTTACAAAAAAAAAGCTTAATATTTATTTGTTTACTTTATTAAACATTTCTTTCAACGTGTGCATGCGTAAAGCATACATTACGCATAGCTGAAATTAGAAAATTGCGACTAGAAAACTATTTGATGTGCACTCATTATATTTATAATGACGAGGAATTTGATTTAAATCATATCAAAAATGGAATACATTAAGATGAAATACTACATTTAGTAAGGAATTATAAGCTGAATAAAATAAAAACATCTGCCCTGAAGATAAAGATAGTGCTGAAACATCAACTTCCAATTCATTGTGTGCTGCGACGTCCCCCCCCCCCTCCCGGCAGAACAGTATGAAATTGATAAACAGATTTCGGAATGATTAAAGAAAAAAGGACATGCCTTTATCCATTTTTTGCAGCAATTTCACTTTTTGTTTGATGGACATCGAAACATACTTTCGTTTTGGCAGCTCCAGCATTGGAAATTCTATTTGACATGATCGAAAGTTCAAGCTTACTTTTATAAAATTGCTCTAACAGTCTGCAAAAAATAATAAGCCGATCCAATTCGAAGATTAAAGAACAACGCAATCTGCAACATTAACTGAAATAGATAATTAGATAATTTTAGCTTAGTGTATACCGTCCGTTATACATTAAATACGCATGCGTAAATGCATTATGCGCATGTGCATGCGTAAAAGTATTGCGCTTGCGTGAACGCATTATTCATTGTCACATGCGCAGAAGTTTTTAGCTTTGAGGTCCGGATTATGGGTGTCTGGATTAACGACTTTTGACTGTATTTGTATTATTATGAAATGACTTGCGATTTCTTCCCTTGATGAGATTTATTTTAAAAATATTTTAATACCTACACAGTTATGCTTCTGTGAAAACAACTATAGTAGTTACTCATATTTTTTCTTTCAGATTTCACCTGTTTTAGCTATCTGTACACAAGTTTTGAATTCATCTATTGGAAAGAAGCAATATGAAATTGGAGAAATAGAGCAAGATCTTGAAGTTGTACAAAAACAATTTGCGCTAATAGCACAAGTTAGTCAACTTTCAGCTTATATAAATCTTAAAATTAATAATTATATATATAAGAAAAAGTAAGTTTACCTAAAATTAAAAATGAAATAAAATGAAACCTTTAAGTTGCTGAGTGATGGGTTGTAACAACCTCAAACAGATTCCTAAAGCCAAAACTAAACTGGTGTTCATTAGACATTTTAAGGGGCGGGAAAGTATTAAAAATAAAATATTACAGACATTGTGGAAAAATTTAAGAATTATTCTACACTGGTTATCATAAGTTAAGGAAAAACCACAAAAATAGCGATAGCTCCCTCAAAAATAAGCCAAACCGTGTAAAATTTGAATATGTTCCAGTAAGTAGCTGAGTAAAACTCAATATGCAAATTAGTGGCGCTGCAGGAATACGTCATCTGCCAGGAGAATAAAGTCATGTTTGAGAGCAAGCCCATATATTTACTGTGATAGTGACATCAGCAAGGTGAGATAGCCAATTCGTAACAATGACCTTCAGCATCATTGCCTGCAGACTATGATGGAAAACCATTGGAGACTAGAGGCAGGATAAAGTCAAACAGAAGTGGCCAGTGGTTAAATGTGAGTCCTTCTGTGGTTCATAGACTTTGGAGACGATTTCAAACCACAGATTCGGCATCTAGGAGGTTAAGCCAAGGACGGCCAACTGCTACGACGAGCGCCGATGGCCGATATTTGACATTATGTGCACGCAGGAATAGAACCACTACTCTGATTCTTCTTAGATCCTCCCTTGCTGCAGCCACCGGAAGGTTGGTGTCAATGTCAACTGTGCGTAGAAGGCTTCACGAAGGTAGTCTGTATGCCAGGGTTTGTATGGTCCTTAAAAGTCCTTAATTTTTCAAAAATGATTTTTGGTCCTAAAGTCCTTAATTTTGGCAAAATGAATAACGGTCCTAATTTGCTCATTTGACATTTCTTATCATTCTAATGATTGCCATTCTATGTGTGAATTGCGATTTCTCATGAATATGGAATTAAAATTGCACGGCTCTTAACCAATCTGTTGGTCGATTTGCATAGCAAACGATAAAAAAAAAAAAAACAATTAGCTACCCGAACGAAAGTATCTGTATCTGATTGCCTATTCACCCAATCTTTCGAAACAGGTGTTACCCATAAATTTAGGCAGATTGTGACGAAAGCGTGAAGTCAAAAGTTATTTAAGAGGCGAAAGTGATGATGAAGGTGCTCGAGAAAAAAAAGGGTGGGGGATTCTGAAAATATTTCCAAAATTAGAGCAATCCCAACCTGGAAGGCCACAACCCTTCCGGACGCCAATAGGAACGAAGATGCCTGGAAAAGTGCATTTTCAATAAACTGTGGCTTCATCAAGCTGACTACAAAGACTGGATATTGATGGATGACAATCCTTATAAAGCTAAATGCGGTCTTTTGTCTGAAACAAATTGAAATTTCTAGGATGGGAGAGTCAGCGAGCTGAAAATTCACATGAAAATTAAGTTTCGTTTTATCATTTCAATTTATTTTTACATGGTTTTGCTTACCTTAATTTCTGTGTTAGTTTGAATTAAGCCATAAATTAATTTTTGATGACCTTCTACGGAGTTTATTCTCTTTTGCACATATATGTTTGGGATCATATTCTGAGTTTTATTTCTGCAGAGGGTCTGTTATCGATTTCGCGGGAAATCTGTTGGCTCCATTTTGATTTTAGGTCGCCAAGGGCAATTCGGTAACGCTAGCCAAAAAAAGTGAAGTTCGGAAATAAGTTTGAAGCTTCAATAGACAATTAAGTATTTGGTTTAATCCTATGCTGTTGAGTAAATGCATTATTTTGCTAATGCGATACAATTATTAGTTGAAAAAACTAACTATTAAAAAAAAATAATATTTTTAAAGCTGAAACAAACTATTGAAACTAATTTTCCTGAATTAATTTCATGAATTATTAAGTTATTGGGTAGAAGTTTAACTGAAAATCTGCTTTTACCGATGGCTGCAAAATGTCCCAGCAGTTCAAAGAGCCATTGAAATATGGGATGATTGCCGTACATTAAAGAAGTTGAAATGGGGCAGATCAACAAACATTCATCAAACTTATTCTCAAATATTCTGGACGCAGCTAAGGATAAAACATTTCTTATAAAACTATTTTTTTTCTCTCTCTGTCGAAAACATTATGGCCTTTCCTTAAATATTATCAAGGAGGTAAACCACTTATTCCCTTTTCGCTGAAGATATCTTAAAACTTGTAAATGTTTGCCTTCATCATTTTAAATTTCTGAAGCCAGAATACGCAAAAATATCTAAAGCAAAAAATCTTTGTAAATTTAATTTTAATTTAATGATACAATTTATTGTGATGATAAAAGTAAAGTTTGTTTGGGATCCATTGCTGGACAGTTAATGAATGATAAATTCTGCAAAAAAGCCATTTCACAAGCTGAAAGTTTTGCATTGAAACAAGAAGATCAACCATGTGTCTTAACAATGGTACAACACTTAATGTCTAAATGTTCAATAAATTATTCTCTTATTTGAAATGCATCTTGTATAGACCCGCAATTGATGGTAAAAAGTCCAGAAAAAGCCCAGAACAAAATGAAAATAGTTCTAATGGTATTAATGCAGAATAAATGTGTTTGACAAGATGATTGGGATGAAATTCTGCTGCAGTTTGGTGAGTTGCTAGACAAAGTAGTTAAAACAAATTTACATGAATTTTCTACTTTTGATCCTCAAAATCTTTCTCTTGACACATTTCTCACTTCTTATTTTCATGATTTTCACTATTCAGAAGTATGGAAAATAGTGAAAATGATTCTTATCTTGTCACATGGACAGGCCTCTGTGGAAAGGGGCTTCTCTGTAAATAAAGCAATTGAAATTGAAAATTTAAGTGACTCATCATACATTTTTCAATGCACAGTATTTGATTACATAAAATTTTCTGGAGATGTTCTTAATATCGAAATTAATAAAGAAATTAGATCAGCAGCAGCTTCTCTTCTAAATATATGCAGTATTTAGAAGAGCAAAAATCTTTAACTAAATCTGAAAATTCAAAGAGGAAAAGAAATATCATCGAGGAAGAAATTGATTATATGAAGCAGAAGAAAAAATTTCTTCAAAGGGACATTAAAGATTTTAATGAAGAAGTAGATGCTTTAGCAGATGAACTGAGACCAGCATGAACATTGATTTGTTTATCAAAGCAAATGAACTAAAGTTAAAGAAAAGGAAAATAGACATAAAAAATTAGATGTTAAAATAGCTGAAAAGATTTCAGATTAAAAAAAGCACAAATGTTTTGTATCTTTTATTGTACAGTTTATTATTCTAGTATCTTTCAAAAAACCAAGGAAATAAATTGTATGTTTAACAAATCAGTTATTTTAATCTGCAAAATATTCTTACATTGTGATTATAATAGTAGTTGACTGTGTTAAATAGATATCAATAAGTTAAATAATAATCACGTAAATCTCTAAAATAGTGACTGTTATTAGTGTAAAATACACTTATACATGTTTTAAATAAATTGTGTTCTAATTTAATGTTATCTACTTCATACTTGGAGGGAGTTAGTTTAATTTTCAAATTGTTTTATGGTAAGTATTAAGTTATTTAATAATAGTGCATAATACACAATTCTGTTATTTTCTTAAGTGAAATTACAGCTGAAGTCGGTTGTATGGATAATTGCTTTATTCTATTCATTTTTTTGTTTGCTGATAAGTCCTTAATTTTTTCTTTGATGGTCCTTAAAAGTCCTTAAGAGTCCTTAATTTTCATGTAAGGAAATGTGTACGAACCCTGGATGCGAGACGAACAGCCATTTGTGTGGCGCTCACGTCACGCCATAGGAGGGACCGTTTGCAGTAGGCACGACATGTCTACTGGATGCCACTGTTCTCTTTACGTATGAGTCCAGGTTTAGTCTAGAAAGCGATAGTAGACGTTTTACCTTCGATATCAGAAGAATTATGATGGAAAATGAGTATACAATCAATTATCCAATGAAAGACATCTCGTCACGACACAAACAGTTTAATATTACAATTCTATTTACAAGTCTAATTAAGTGTTAGTTTTAGCTTTGACACCTCAAAGCAATACTCAGAACATAAATGGCATAAAATATTACTCATCAGTTTTTAAATACTCATGAAAAAACATCTCAAAAAAGTCATTATTCTCATTACTTAAAACGAAAGTAAACAATAGACAAACTCGAAAACGTAGATGTTTAAACTCAACTGTTGCCAATCGCGATTTACTAAATTACATCAAAATAAAGATAATAATCAGGTAGAGGTTCAACTTCACATCCTCCCACCTAAGTTAATATTTTTACCTAAAAAATTTAATTAAAAGAAAATTGTGAATATTTTATAATGTAGTCCTTCTTAGGTACTTTGATTGTACGACCTGCTCTATCTTTTGAATCTGAGGTTCATCCACAATGTTATCTACGCCCTTCTCATAAGCTCTTCTGAGACCCCAGTCAAGTTTCTAGTTTTTTTGCAGAAATCTTCTACACACGGTGCATTGATTGATGATAGATCTCACAGTTTTACGAGCATTCAGAATCCAAAATCTCTCTCGTAGAATATTTATTAAAATTTGAGTACCAGCATGTGCATTTTTCTCATGATAGTATCGCACTAGTCTCTTGACAACCTCATGATTGGATGGAAGAATAGCTGGCGTTTTAAAGTCTTCTGTATCCTCACGAAAGGTAAGTTTAGTTTTTAGTCTGAGGATTCCACTTTGATCCTTGAATACTCCTAAAGTTCTTAATTTCTCATCCTTTTCATTCACAAAACAATCTTCTTGAACCATTTTGATCAATAATATCTCAGCCTCAAAAATTTCCTCAGAATCAAGGTTTCCATGCTTTCTCACTGTTTTTTTTTCAGTTCGATAATTGGAGGTGAATCTTAGGATCCAGGCAATTAGATTAACTATCCTTTTGTATTGAGAAAAATATCTGTAATACCAGTCTCTCTTGGTAACCAAGCATGCAGAAACTAAACATTTAGTTACAGAAGAAACTATGCTCTTTTTCTTTTCTCTAACAATCTCAGTCTCATCTAAATTTAAGTCACCTTTAGGCCAATCTTCTTCAGGCAAGTAAAGCCAACTTGGACCTAACCACCACTGAGATTTCAATAAGGAGAGAGCTGAACAACCTCTACTCGGAAGATCAGCTGGATTCATGCAACCAGGAATATGTCTCCAAGAATCTTTATTTGTTAGTCTTCTTATTTCCTTCACCCTATTCTGGACAAATACACTCCAGGCTTCTTCTCTCGTTATCCATGATAAAACAGTAGAATCAGTCCAGAAGTAAACTTCTTCACTCTGTATCTCGGACAAAATCGAGGACGAAAGGCGAGACGCTATAGTAGCTGCAAGTAATTCTAATCTCGCGATAGTAGTTTTTTCTTCTTTTCCAGTTGGTGTAACTCTACTCCTGGCTTGTATCAGTTGTACTTTAGTAGAATCAAAAGTTTTTATACGAATGAAAGCAGCCACGGCATAAGCATGCTTACTGGCATCACAGAAAATATGTACTGAAGTATTTTCACTCGTACTCCTTGAACCAAAATATCTTGGAAAATGGATCTTTTCCAGATAGTCAATATCTTTCAACCATTTTAAAAATGTAGTTCTCGTACAGGTATCAACTTCTTCATCCCATGTTATCTTCTGCTTCCAAGTTTCTTGAAGTAATAACTTAGGGATAAGGATAACAGGACAACATATACCAAGAGGATCAAACAATCTATGAGCTGTAGATAAGATTAAGCGCTTAGTCACTTTTTCAAAACATAACTCTTTTATACTACCAGTATTTATTCTTAGAGTGTCAGATTTTTTATTCCATATTAAACCGAGCACATTTGTATCAGCAGAAGCATCAGCATTAATATCATTGAACTCCCACCCTCTAAGCTCAAATTTTCTCTCAGCCATTACCTCAGTTGATACACTAATAAAATGATTGAGTTCTTCTTCATTTTTAACACAACTGACACAATTGTCAACATAAAAACTATGCATAAGTTTTTGAATGACACCTTTCGTATATAAGGATTCACCGGTTTCTATTTTCTCTAAAACAGTTTGTAGGTGAAGCTGAATAGTAGAGTTTAGAAGAAAAGGGCTACTTGCTACACCAAAAACTACACGGCAGTGCCTGTACACTTTCAGTTGACCATCACTATCAAGCCATAAGAACCGCAAAAAGTCTCTATCAGTAGGTGAAACACTTATTTGAAGAAAGGCTCTTCGTATATCAGCAATAACACCAATCTTTTCTTTTCGAAAGCGTGTTAAAATACTCGGAAGCTGTTCTATTAGATTTGGGCCTTTTTCTAAGCAGTCATTAAGACTAGGAAATCCCTTTACTTTGGCCGAAGCATCAAATACCGGTCGGAGTTTTGTAGTGCTATTCTTTTTGATAACTTCTCGATGAGGAAGGTAAAGAACTTGCCCTTGATAATTTTTATCAGCCTCTTCAATTACTCCCTCTTCTAGCCATTCCTTGAAAACATCTCCATAAGCTTCATAATTGGACTCGATTTTAAGACGTTTAACAGTTTTGTTCAGTCTTCTCTCGGCTAAGTCAAAATAGTCTGTTAGTGGTGGATGATATTCCAACCAGGGCAAATCAACCTCGAAACGATCATCGACTATACGAACTGTATTTAGAAAATGTAACCGAGCAGCTTCTTGTAGTTCAGTCTGGTTTTTCTTGACTGATGGGTCAGTGATCCCAAGTGTGTCCAAAGTCCATAGATCTGTTATGGTCTCCACAGTAGATAACAAGGATGTAACTAAGAACGATGATGAAAACTCACTTTTCGAAGTATTCGGCATTCGTCCCATAACTGACCATCCAAATTTGGTCTCAATAGCTACGAGACCACAAGGCAACTCACGACGACCACCTGTCATGAGTTTTCCAGCTACATCAGCCCCAATAAGAATCTCAATAGGATTTTGACAATCATCCACAATATTTATATTACAGGCTGCTAACTCTTTCAGACAAAGCTTGTTGACAGTAGGTGGCACTGACTTACAAATAATTTGTTGACTAAGAACTTTAAAGTTGCAATTATAATTCCCATGCACACTCGATAAATATAAAGTGCTTGCATATCCCTGAGTCCTTCCCTCCAAATAAAGAGTGTTGTAA